CATTCTCATTCAACGGATGATAGATGGCTATGTAACTCTGCACCTTGTCTCCCAACCCATGTCAGCAGACTCAAATCCTGCTAAGGTTTGAGATCTACTAACTCCTATTTAGAGCTATGACTATGGCTTCTGCTGTGATATTACTATTCAGGGCTCAGTTTTTTTAAAAAGGCCTGTGGAAATTGAAGAAGCATCAAGATGCTAATAATAGTAACAAAATAACAATACATTATACTTGAAAACTTACTATTTACAGGAGTGTGCTAACTGCCTTACATGCATCTTCTCATTCAGTTCTCACTATATTCCTATCAGTCCTGTTTTCAGATCAGAAAATGGTTTCGAGAAGGTAACTTTAGAGCGCTGAATGTCAAACGTGTGTTAATTGATAGAGTTCAGATTGGAACTAAGATTTTGCTGATTCTGCGTTCTGCTTTATGGGCTGTGCTGTATTGTCTTAAGGTTAAGTGGTGTTACTGCCAGGTGATTTGTGTTTCCAATGAGAAGAAGGGATTACGTGATGTTAATTGTCTGGAAGTGGGAACAAAAGCACCCAACTCATCCCTTCCATCCGTGAGGGGGTGCCTGTACATAGGAGACTGGGATGAGAGGAGTCTTTTATCAGTCTGTGAGAGACAATGTGTAGTAAAGAAATTGATTGAAAGAATGAAGAAGGTTGGAGGCATGAGGAAGGAATTTGACACTAATGGATTGAAAGCCTCTGAAGAGTCAAATAAAAAAATCTATCGGCAGGAACTAAAGGGTAGCAGAGAACCATGAGAATTAGATCTAAGTTGTGTTCAGGGAGTTGTCCTGATGGCTCTGCACCTACCCCCCGCCCCCTCCAGCATCTCAGGGTAACAGGTGTGCATAGGTGGAGAGAGAAGGTACAGTCTGGAGATTTTGAGGCCCCTGTTAGTGACTTCAGCGAGAGGTGCTTTTATTACGGTTCTTGAGAAAGTCATGATGAGGATATTTGGGAGTTAAGTTCAGAGCCATCAACTTCCACTCTACACAAGGAATGTATTCTTGATGTTTCAGAGGAAATTCATGAGAAGGCGACAGGTTGGGGCCATTGTCCTGATTTTAAAGGATGTTCACTGATTGCTGAGTCCTATTTTTAGGGACCTTGAGGGGTTCCATGGAAGTCAGGTTTAGACCCCTGATACAGAGCTTAAATTAGTATAGAGTAGCTTGGGGTAGAAGTTGGCACAAAGGCAAATCCATTTTTACCAGGTTGTTAGTCTCTTCTATGCTCTGCTAACTTTCTTGGCAAAATTTAATTTTAGAAAACTAATGGCACTGCTGTTCCCCAGAGTCCAAGGAAAAGCTTTGTCATCCTTCACCTCCGGTCAGCCATTAATGGGACACTAATATATTTTGCCATCAAGGGACACAATCGAATTACTTGGCTTTCATTTAATCTCTGTGCACTTTTCTCCCCCATGTTCTAGTTGTCTGTTTTCATGTTATCACTTGACCTGTAAAATACCAAGTGGGAGAAGATCCGGGAGAATCATGACACCAGCCAGGCTAGACGGTTTGCCCCCGGAGGAAGCCCAGCAGCTTGTTAGAAGTATCTAGGGAGTTCCTGCATGTGCCCTAATCTCCTTCCAATACCTGACAGTAGCAGATGCTCGTGTTTATTAGGCAGGACCTTACCTGAAAGAACAAGCTTCAGCATAATAATTATACCGATAATACCTAATATCGAGCACTTACAATGTGCCAGACATTTTTCTAAGCACATCACCTGTGTTGACTCACTTACTTCTCATAACATCCCCGTGAGGTGAATACTGTTATCATCCCCACCTTTCCTGTGGGGAAACTGAAGCACAGTTTCCTGATTAACCAGTAACTGGAAGAACTTTACGTCCAATCCAGTCCATCTGACCTAGAGTCTGAGCTCTTAACCACTTTGCTGAGCTGCCTCCTGTACCTACTCTTTATACCAGGGTCCAGAGTAATTCAAAGGGATTATCCATCAGGGACCCTCTGGGTGAATGTCCTCAACCTTCTTGATTGGCCTGATCTGGGCCACCATTTGATAGCAGGCCAAATACCAGGTACCCTAGTCAGAAGGCTGGTTTTAAGCAAGCTGCCACTGGTGGGAAAGTGGGATGTGTTGCAGGTTGTTGGGAGAAGATGGGAGATGAGAGCAGAAGAGTGAATGTGTAGAAAGTGGAAGGAACAGAGTGTTGGCTGGTTAGTGAGAGTCTCCACTCTTTTCCATTCTGGAGATGAAGTGAGATAATATATGAATTCATAGGGGACCTGGAAAGTTCTATAAGATTGGTGGGAGGCTGTGGTTCAGGGGCAGTAGTGTGTGGTGGGAATCAGTGGGTTCAGATGAGAACCTGGAAGGCAGAAGTGTGTGGACAGACAGCAGACAGTGTTGGCTTTTGAGAAAGGTGGTTCACACTGGTTAGCCCACGGGCAGCCCCCTGGAGGAGGGGTGCGGGGACCGGTCTGCAGTCACTCTCTGAATCCCACTTCCAACTTGGCAGCTGCTGCCATAGCCAGCTCTGGACTCCAGCTCACTGGAGAGGACCAGAGCTCACTGCCACTAGATCTGCTGTTACCTCAAAAAATGTTTTGGCGGAGCTCTTTCAGCCTCTGCCCTCTCTCTTCTCCTGTTACAGAGTATGATGGGCCACCGCATTCTATGTTTCCAGCTTCCCTCTTATCTGCTACGCTTGCAGGAGAGTGTTTGCTAATTATAATCTTTGCGGTTCACTGGAGTGAACTTGACATTAAAAAGAGCGGGCACCTCTTGGGAGTTCCTTGGCGGTCCAGTGGTTAGGACTCCGCGCTTCCACTGCAGGGGACACAGATTCGATCCCTGGTCGGGGAACTAAGATTCCCACATGCCATGTGGTGCAGACAAAAAAAAAAAAAAAAAAAAGATCAGGCCCCTCTTAATTTCAAAATCCGCATTTGGTGTGAACGGTGTGTGGTTACTCTGTTAGTAATTCTTTCCTATCTACTTACATCTAACACCTAACACTGATATAATCCTTACTTTTACTCTTGCCCCGAGTTACCATTTATTTACTTATTGATGTACCTTTAAAATAATTGCGTTACTTTTCTAAAAATGATGATACTCAGTGTAAAATAATCCCCAAATCCCACCATGTACAGGTAACCATCTCAAACAGCTTACTGAACATTTTCTTCAGACACTTCTCTATAAACTCCGAAATTCCACAATTCCCATGAAGGAGATTATGCCATATGTAATTTTCGATGACTTTTTTTTTCACTTAACAACATATTGTACTCAGACTTTCTTTTAAAGGTAGACACTCATTTGTAATATTTGCCCTGCGTTCTCCTGTTTGTACCAACAGTTTACTTAGCCAGCCCCCTGTCGATTGTTCATTGACCAAGAGTCTGAGCATCACGTAGGGATCGTCCGACTCTGCTAATCCAGGCTCTATGGCTTTGCTGTCAATCTGTGGGATTCTTGGCATCGTATAATAGAAGGAGCATAAAAGGAATGAATGAAGAGTCCAAGACTCTGCTCCCAGCTCTGTCACTTAGTAGCTCTGTGACCTTAAAATCACTTTACCTTTCTGAATCTCAGGTTCCCTACCTGTAAATGGCGGTGTGGGTACGTGTGATATTAAAGGTCTGTTCTGCTCATTCACAAATGTGCTTTAAACCACATCTCCCATCCCAACTTACACATGTCAGTTTTATTCACCAGTGCCTGTTAAGTTGGAGTATGTATGGAAGGAGTTGTTACACTTTGCCCTAAAATGAGTTTTTAGACAAGAGAATGAAATTAAAATTATTTCTCCCTCTTCCAGAGCTGCAGTGAAATTGTGTGTGTGAGTGCATGTGTGTCTGAGGTTGGGGTAGAGGTATCCTGCCAATATTTTTCAAGTATCACTCTGTCCTTCCATCCATCCTTCTCCTCTTTCTTCTCTCTCCTGCCCCTTCCTCCTCTCTCGTCTTTCCTTCCTTTTTTCTTTTTCCCTTTCTCTCTTTTCCTTCCTTCCTTCCCTTCTTTTCTTTCTTTCTTTTCCTGAAGTGAATTGAGGACTAATGCTATTCTTTCTGCTTCAGTCAATGGGGACTTCTACCCCATAATATAAGACAGGAGAAGCAATAAAGACAAATGGGGATTGTGTTATATTAATATATTGAATAAATGTACTGTTCCATAATGGTGATGATGAAGATCAAATTATTTCCCTCGACTAATGCCCATGATTAAACTATTTTGAGAATATTAGTTAAAAACATCCAAGGAATCCAGGTAAAAGCCTTCTGAGGGTGAATAGGACGCTTCAGAAAGTTTGGTACGACCCCCTTTTAATTGTTCACTATCTATCCTGAACCAGTTTGAATTCCTTTAAAATGAATTAAATACTTCCTTCTCTTCCTAAAGAATGCATGTTGTACGTGTTTTAACACTTTTCCTCCATTTTGGGGTCTTCAGTGGCACCATCACAGGCAACATTTATTGTAATTGGCTTTGACTGAGAAGTGCCCCCAGGGAGTTCGAGGTGTGTGGAGCCATTTCATTCTCAGCCCCGTGCTTTCTGGATTCTTGGTTTGATTTTTATGTTTTCCTGTGTCTTCTGAGAGCCAAGCTGTTATGGGCATATTTGCTAAAGCAGTTCTTTCCAGCTCTACACCACTTCTCAGCACTTCAGATTAGCTGCATCTCATTTATTGTGGAACTTAACACAGAATCTTATTGGAGTTTTTAATAAGTTAGTAAAAAAAAAAAAAAATGAGTGGGCTCCAGAAGCTTTTTCTGCTTATTCCCATGTTCTTACCTCCATTCCAGAAACTTGAGGTTTGCAGAGACGTGTTCTCCAGATAATTGCTGTATTCTCATCAAGATCCCATGATTCTGGTTTGAATGTGAACTCTTTCTTCTTCATAAGAAGAGATGATATTGCCTTTAGTCCGTCCAGGTGCATATGACTCCCAGTTCCATTCTCTCCTTGATATCTGACCATGCGGTTCTTGTTTTACAGTCCCCAGTCTGTCCCAGACCGTCTGAGGATCCGGGTGAACAAAATCAGTTTACAAGACTATGAAGGATTCCACTATGACAAAGAGAAGCTCCGGGAAGCTTGTAAGTTGGAAGTGCCTAATGGATATCACGGGATCAGCCTGTTTTCAGCTTCTTGATCCTCCTTGGTTTGATGGATAGATTCATCTTGTGTCTGAAAGTCATGATTAAAGAAATGAAGGGAAGTGTAGTAACATGTGAACCCCAAGTGATGCTCTGTGGGCTGAAGAAGATGGAACTAGAAAAGGAAATCAGAATAAACTAGTTCTGCTCTTGATGCCACGTTAGGATCTCTTGGTTTATTAACCATTTTAGTCCCAGGCTGACCTAAAATGAAAAAAGCAGAATGATGGTGATACAACATGGTATAGTAACATCTAGAAAATTCTTAAGACAGCACACGTCTCTTCCTGGAGGCTGCATTACCAAATACTGTCCTCATTCTTCATGCCAGGGTGACAGAGTTATCTGGGAAGACACGTCCTTCACTTCTAGCTGTTATGTGATTGTATGACGTCAAAGAAAGGCCCACAGCGTAGTAAATGTCAGGGTAAAATGAGTCATTGATGAGGTGACAGTGCTTCTGAAACCTTAAGTTGAGTCAACATACAAATTCCTTTTCAATGTTCGTATTTTCCATATGCTTCTTTAAATATATATAACTGTTAGTTCACCTTGCTCAATATTCCATATTTATTGGGCATTTTTTACATTCCAGTCACTATTTTAGATCTTTGTCTGTACCATGAAAATATATGAGGTAACTGGGGAACGTCGGCCAGAAGCAGTTAAGACGACAGGTGTGTTGGATATTAGGGTTCTCGGTTCCTTCTTCATTGTGGGGGCCAGTAGTCAAGTGCAGTAAAGGCAGAGAAGATGAGGGCCAGTGTCCAAGGGCACAGGCAGGGATGCCAACAGAGAGAAGGGAGCGTTGTAGAGAACCAGAGATTTATGAACGAAAACCCAAACTGGCCCCAAGTGTGGACCTGCCTGAAGGTGTAGAAGATGAAAATAGTTAAAACTGGCAGGAGTGGAGTAGGGGGCACATTTCTGAGCTCTGATTCCTGAACCTGTGATCTGTAGTGGGGTGTACTGGATGGAAGTCCCGAAATCCAGGGACAGTCTCAGGGTGGGGCAGGGACTTTCAGATCTGGAGGTGACAGTGAGCAAGGATCCGCTTCCCCCGTAACTCAGGCACTAAACCTACCAGGGCATCCTGTATGGAATTTCTCTCTCCATTCTTTCACTGCGTCAGCTTCCTCAACCCTCTTCATCCTTCTCCGTAAACGTCAGTATCCTTCAGCTTCTCCCCAGCCTTCTCGCTCCATCCTTCACTCCTGTTCCCTTTGGTAGGGATGCTTTGAGGTGGAGGAGGAACAATGCCCCGAGCCTCTGCATTTCCCCCTTCTGCCAATGGCAGATTATATTTTCTAATGTAAATGAGATTATGCGGGCCAGACTAGCACAAAATCTAATTTAACCGTAAGGTGGTGGATCTATATGTTTGCAATGGGAGATGTAGCTACAGTGTCAATTAAACTGACTTTTAGAGGCTACTAATGATAAAAGAATGGTGTTTTATGTTCTTTTTCTTACAAACTTCTAAACAAATAGCTTACAAGTTTGAAAAATTAAAAAAGAGACTGGATCTCAAGCCAGTAATATTTTGCAGCTTACTGTCAACTCTGAGGAGAGTCAGTTAGGAGTGGGGAAGCTTTTGAAATTTTTGGCTGAAATGAGATTTGAAGCTTATCTGTGGATTTCAATGACCTCTTCTTATCTTTTCTGGGGCATTATCTGTCCACTATTGCCAGAGGTAATTGTGATTTGAGTTTTTACAAGATGACATTTCCTGGCAAGTACTCTGCTTATCATCTCTTATGTGATAAAACATCTATGTGAGGAAACTTCTTATATCAAATTGGGGGAGGTGACTTGATATAAATATAAGTCCAATAAATTCAGCCATGTCTTTTGGGACCCAGAAGAACAAAGAAACTCTCAAAGAGGGAATCAAAGCATTATCTCATTTTAAAGATTTGAGGAAAACAACATATGAATTAGAAGTAAAAGCAGCCAACTCAGTCATTCTACATTTAATATATGGTGATGATGCTTCTCAACTGTGGTTGCTCAGGAAAGTTTGTCCTTGGGGGTTTATGGACTTATTCACACTCCCCTTTCTTCCCCGGCTCCAAATTGCAAGTGACTACAGATTCATGGGAAGGCCGACAGCTCAAACTGAGTATAAAGGCAAAAACCTGTTCAAATCCCAATGTGCAGTGCATGCCAAAATAGGTTATTTCTGAAGCATTAATGAAATGAAATAGAGAGAACACATCTAGATAAAAGGGACTCTAGGAATGTGCTCTGACCTGCATCCTGGAAGAACAAAGCGGGTGAATCCTCTTGGGTCATTCATTTATTGTCAACATCCAAGTCCGAACTAGAGCAGGTCCTGCATTACTGGGTTCAAAAAATTAGTTCCCTTTCTTGATGATACACCAAGTGACTCATCCAGGCAGCACGTGGCTGTTCTCCTTCACCATTTAATAGAATCTTGCTCATGTGTCTGGATCATTATTCACATTAGATTACAAGCTCAGATGTTTGTTGTCCTACAAAGCCCTGCTTCTGTCTGTAAGGCAGGACTCCATGGTAATTACGGGAGGGCAGCCCTTTTCATCGCCATATTTATTTTGGCAGAGAGAAAGATGGCTATAGTATTTTAAATACTTCCTGTCTCCCTTCCATTTAGCCCCAACTCACCTGGCGGCATTTCCTCTAAAATGATAACACAGAGAGGGTTATTCTTTCTCTCCTTCTGCTCTTATTGGTAAATTTCAGACTTGCTTAAAACAGTTATAGTTTTTTCACTGGATTTATGAATTATTAATCCTCAAGATAATGGTTATGTGGTCCAAGAGAGGAAAGTCTATTCAACTTGAAATAGAACATAAGGAGAAAGTAGCCATATTAAAAAAAAATTCTTCAAGCACATCTATAATAATTATAGCAGAAACTCACTCCCATAATCAGAATGAAGTATATAAATGGGTTCTTAATAAAGCATATAGTCTAGGCAAAAGGTAATCAGTTTTTTTTAATTTCTTATATTTCTAAGTACAAAAGAGTTTCACTGACACATGACATACATGTTTATATTTGGAATGACTTGATACTGGCCAAGATGTAACTCTGTCTCCGGTAAACTGGCTAAACTTTACTCAGGCATCAGCTTACTCTGCACTTCTGAGTGGCCATGAGTCTAGGGCCTAAAGCAGAAAAGTAAAAACTAGTTTGGAACTAACTGAAAACAGATGTAGCCTATAAAGGTGGGGGGCATTGCCAACATTTGTTGTATATCAAACACAGTGTTCAACAACGCTTTTACATACAGTATCTCAGCACCATGGATATTATCCGGCCATTTACAATTTAGTGTATCTATATAGTGGATAATATCTCAGTATATTATTATCTGGTTAAGACTAATGATTGTGGCTAATTAGATATTTAGGCAGTTGTCCTAATGGAATTTCCTTGTCTTCCTTGTTTAATGACTCAGTAGAAGCGTCAGAAACATTTGTGTTTGAATCTCACTTGCAACCTTGATAAAGTAATTTTACTGATGACCAAATCTCTCATCTCTCAAACGAGAATATAATTGCAGCCTCGTAGGGTGCTACGGGTTACATGTAATGTTGTATATGAAAGCCCCGCTGCACAGTCTGGCAACGTTAGCAAGCCTTCCCAAAATGGTAGCTGTGATTGTTGGAGCTGCTATTCCAAAAGACACTGCTATGACATTGCCCTTCAATCTGCAAGTCCACAAGCCAGGCTCAGAGCGGCTGCCCTTTTTTTTATATATATCCTCTCACCAAACTGCACACACCATCGCCACCCTCCAACTCTCTTTCTCACTTTCAGAAATAGAATGGAAAACACTAGTATATATTAAAGATTACAGAAAGAAACTATGAGTCATCATTTGATTTACTTTTATTGTGTCAGCTAGTACAAGAGACTGCTACGATGGCAAGGCATTCACACCCGTGAAACCCATATTTGGCCATCTGGTCAGATATCTGCAAACTCCCTCTCTTAAGTCCTTGTACATTTCTTAAGTGCATCAGCTGCTGTCCATCATGGAATATTTAAAAATAAAGTTTATTTTGGAAAAATTTTAGATTTGCAAAAAAGTTGCAAGGATACTACTAGGAGTTCCTACATACCTCTTACCCAGTTTTTCTCATTGTTAAACATTTTATACCATAGTACATTTGCCACAGAAACTGATATTGCTTCATTACTGTTAACTAATCCCAATCTCCTCTGGTCTCTGACAGTTTGTCAGTCTTTCCTCCACCCCCCACCCCCATGACCTTGATTGTCTTGAGGGATACAGGCCAGTGACCTGTACAATAGCCCCTATTATGGCTTCATCTGTTGTTTTACTCATAACTAGACTGGAGTTGTAGGTTCTTAGAAAGAATACTGCAGAGGCGAAGTACCCATCCCATCCCGTCATATCAGGGGTTACCCGATTCCCACATGACATGCTTGTGATGGTAACCTGATCTCTTCGTTAAGGTTGTATTTGCCTGGCTTCTCCACCGTGAAGTTCCTGTCTTTTTACTTTCCCTGTGCTATTCTTTGTAAGTGAGTCACCATGTTTCACTCATCTTCAGAATGGGGGGATGTGGATCATTAGATTTTGTTTTGTTTTGTTTTCAGTTTTTATGGATGACTCAATTGCCTCTGATAAACATGCCAAGATGGTGGAGCCATTCACTCATGCATGAATCCATGCTTCCAAAAACTGTACATTTGTATCAGTTATATGTTGGCTATCACCCTAGATGCTAGGCATTGAAAGATGAAACCAGGACGTGTAACATTACAGTGTCATTTTTTCAATACACATTTATTGAGTGCTTACTCTGAGCAAACAGCGGTGGAAAAAGAAAAGCATAAATAATCCCTGAAAAAGCTCAGGGAGCTTTTTCTCATTTGATGAGGAGTATGATAGAACTAAGGAAACGCTATGTATCTGTTTTCTT